ATATTCCAACCCAGTTCCTTCAAACAGAAAACAGCTTCTAATTCTCATTATAGAGTGTTTGCTTCTTTCCTTAACAATCGGACTCTTGATGTACAAGTGGTTCTCAAGCTATTTGGAATATGACTCCCAACCAGTGATCATACTGACAATAATCGTAGTCATCTTTCAATTTTGCCTTCTAATCCTGGTGCATCCCATTCGTTGTGTAATAAGCATTATCCTGCCTTCCATTGGCACCAAACAAGGTAGAAATTTCCTATGGTCTGCAAGCTTTGTGGCGATAATGTTCAACAGCATCCCAAACATTGTTATAAATCTGAAAAACGTTTTTCACACGATGGAATGCATCGCCCAACATTCTTCGGAAAGTCTTTTAAACTCAACGGATGTCTTTCAAAACATTGTTAGAGACATGACTGGCAGGTTAACAGACTTTAAAGATAAGGTAGTGCATTTAAGTTTGTCGACAACCACTAGGGATATGAAGATTGATGCAAACATTGATAAATCAATAATCTCGCGTCAGATAATGAAACTGTCAGAAAATGTAAACGAGGAATTTACGAGTGTTGAATCACAACTCAAGGATGGTGTATTGACCTGCAACAAGGTTCTGGCTGTGTGTCTTGCCCTATATCTTCTATGGAATGCCATTTGGTATCTACAAAGATACTTAACTGACCTTGAATTTGACAACAGGTATATCACAAAACAGCTCAAAATATTAGCCTTGAAGAAAAATGCTTCAGGTCTATTACCTAGTTCTTCCAAATGGCTAATAAGATCAACAGGAGTCAAGCTTTCAAGAGAAGAAATCTGCATTTCTCTGGTACAATTTTTGATACTCTCTTTGTTCATAGTATTGACTGTTTTGACTATCGTTGCTGACCAGATTGCTTACCAATTTGCACTGGCAGTGGGAGCCTGGGTCAGTGATCTGCCGGCCATGCCTATTGCTCTTCAAATAAAATATGATGTAAGTATATTTTGCAGTATTCTTGTTTAGATCTACAGTTGAATGTGTTACAACTTTTCATGCTCAAACAGAACAAACACACATACAAAAGCGGGTGGTAATCAAAATATGTCTCATCAGCTGTGGGTCCAAAATACAAAGGAGATCAAAGCTAAATCTGCCTCTGTGAAGGCTCAGTAACATGTTCCTTATTGGGCAACATCGACTTTGGGCACATATTATGGTCATGTAGATCTTCCTTTCTCTGAGTTGAATTTTAGGAATGTCTACAGAATCTCTCTAATTTCTCAATCAGAAAACACAGTTTCCTTTTGCTTTATAGATATATTTACACCAATAGAAAGATGGTATTTTCTTGGTTTTGTGAATAAATCTGGGGATAAGACCAAATCATAGGGAGTATCATAAGCTGATGAGTTTGGTTGTCTAGGGATACAGCTCCTTGGTCTTTGGATGATTATTTTTGGTATATTTTCGACATAATATTTCACTTAATATTTGTGATAATATCTGTGAAATTTCTAGGCATAGTCCATTCCCAATTTTCATAATTCACCCATTTGTAGAGATGTCTGAATTTCAGATCTGTTGCTTATTTCTCATGATATCCATGGTGTTTAATTAAAAACAAAATGGTTTTCTAAGACAATTTCACACCCTACTTCCACCACTTGACAGGCGCACAGTCGGATTTGCCGGCATATGCGCTAACCTTACCCAAACCCCCATTAAAACATGGACACAGGTTATACTGTTGGAAATAATTAGTCCACAGCTTTATTAAATTATTAATAAAATAATTAAGGAATAACAAATGGGGTCATTGCCAACAAATCTTAATAACGTTAACATCCCCCATATACATAAAATACCCCTAGCAATGACCCCACAATAATAACAATAGATAACAATCTAAATAACATGTTAACACAGAAACTGGCCGCCCAATTTGACCACATTTCCACCAGGTTAAATTGTAGGGGTGTACCGAGACACCGCTACCCACCATATCGATTGTAGGGGTGTACCAAGACACCACTACCCACCAGTTCCAGTGTAGGGTGTACCAAGACACCACCACACCCCCAGGTTCGGAGCCACCGACGGGCTCGAACCTACCAATCACGTGCAACACTGCCCAATCCACACTAAACCTCAGGATGCCAACTTTCTCCTCCATCTACCCTCCGATTTAACCAGGCCATTCCCCGCCGCTGTGAAAAAACGGGAAACCAACTAACCTAACCAAATACAGGGAGGGTGGGAGGGACAACTGACAGGTAAGCTTAGGTTCAGTTAAAATGGCCACTTCATATAATGGCCGGTATAAATACTCCCCTTATGGATCTGCCCCACCCAGCATGCTAGCTGTCACTAACTTCCTGTGGCTGCTATGCCTACCTCCTGGCTCTGTCAAGGCCTATTCCTCTTAGCTGCGCTGATCCATGGGCTACAGGTTTCAAACACTTACATTGTGCTAATAAGAAAAGACAAAATAAATAAATACACCGTGGGAATAGCTGGGGTCCTAATTGTAATATTCAGGGGGAGGACCATTGACAGTTAATGGATACCCTAATAATAATATGCCCCCCCCCACAAGATTTTAATTTAATTCTCACTTCTCTGAAGACTTTGCTGCCAAAGCGCTCTGATTGGTTGGCTTACCAATCAGAGTGCTTTTACCGATATTACATAATGTGGGTAGTTTAGCGAGAAGAATCATGAAAACAGAAAGTACCTCCCATCGACAGCCAACGTGTCTTATTCACAAGTGGTCACAGGTTTTTAGAACATTTCCCTGTAAAACAGGCCAAATGTTACTTTGTTATACGAAGAAAAAACAGTTTGTTGTTTTGTGTGAATAGGTCATGCCGCTTTGTCAATTTGAGAAACAGAAACACAGATTGCCAACAGTAAATTGGGAAACAATTTCACAAAGTTTAAATATATTCTGGATCATTGGGGAATTAATCAAACAGATTACCGTGTCTGTACTCATCTGATTACTTGTCTAAGCAGTGGATGCTTCTTATTACGATTGAACTTAGAATGTGCATAATATATAAAATTCATCTAATGCAGTTAAATGTGTTGCGTACAGTTAGTTTGTGTCAGTAGTAACTTTTTGAAAGTAGGTTGGTTGTATTTTTTTTTAAAGGATCACTATAGGGTCAGGAACACAAACATGTATTCCTGACCCTGTAGTGTAAAACCACCATCTAGCCCCCCTGGGCCCCTCATGCCTCCATAAATATAGCAATATCTTACTGTATTCAAGCCTGAAGCTGTAAATCTGCATGCGGTTTGCCTCAGAAAAACAAGCTGTTTGCTGACATCATCAGAAGTGGTAAATGTAGAAAATACTCCAGGCACTCCAACAGGTTCCAAGATTAAGGCAATTTATTTGAACCAGGAACTACAAAGCAACGTTTCAGCCCTAACAGGGCTTTTCTCAAGCAGTGTCTGCATGCAGAGGGAGGAGACACTGAATGTTTGGATGCATTTTAGGCAGCCATGACCCAGGAAGGATCTCTAACAGCCATCTGAGGAGTGGCCAGTGAAGTTATCACTAGGCTGTAATGTAAATACTGCATTTTCTCTGAAAAGACAGTATTTACAGCAAAAAGCCTGAAGGTAATGATTCTACTCACCAGAACAAATTCAATAAGCTGTAGTTGTTCTGGTGACTATAGTGTCCCTTTAAATTAAAATGCTAAAAAAAGTGCCATTCATTTTTCAAACAAATAACTTTGAATACTGACATTAAATAAAAGTTTGTTTTTAAAGGTAAGCTGCCTGTTCTCTGGAATTTTATGTTATGCTTAATTATCACTATATTTAACAAATATGTATTTGAGAGAAGTTAAAAAGAAAATTTAATGTAGAGATTAACCACTTTTTATCTTGCAACTGGGCGCCTCCATCTTAGCTCCCTGACAATCATTGTTATAAGCTCCGCCCTTTGCACCTCCAGTCAGTATAGAGAGCGCACACAAAGAAGAGAAGAAATGAAACAATGTTTCGATTTCTCCTCCTCATTTGCATAGTTTGCCTTGTCTGAACTCGATGTCAAGCATGACTATTAAAAAATAAAATAAAAATAAAAAATTAAATAGAGCATATCATGAAAATTAAGGGATAGCACAAATTATGTGTGCTTTTCTATGTTTTATTCAATTTTATAAAAGTTCCTGAGAAGTGACAGTTTTCCTATAAGAAGCCCTCACAATTTGAAGGAAGTGGCTTATACAGTTTTGGGATGGCCCAGTCAAAAGTCTATTCCTCTCTCTGATTATGCCTCTTTTGACAAGTAGTTTGTGGTGCACATACGCAAGAGTATTAAACATTGAGGGGTATGTGGCTCCAAATACCAGGTGTATTCAAAGTAAATTTTAGCATTAATTAATATATAACTAAGTAACACAAAAAACTATATATATAAAAAATATAATTTAAAAGGAATCTGGTAACCATTGTGTAAATTGACAAAATAAGAAAATTAGTTTCAATAGTTTAAAAGTACACAAGTAAAACTGAACGTTGATGAAAGGTCAAACATTAGTCTAGATTATTAAATGGAAATGTGCCGTGAAGGCATATTAGACTGAATACATGTAGGAAAAAGTAAAAAAAACTGTAAAGAAGCGTAAAGAAGGGTAAACAATGTTCTGGTTAGGGGATGGATTCATTAAATATACCCCAGATTAAAATGTGCATGCATATAATTGTGCATTTTTCTTTGGGGTATAACTAAGAGATTGCAAAAGCTGTAGATATTTTGTCTGAAGCCTTTGCAAGCCCTCCCCTTCTAACCCCGCCCAGACTTTCTATGGCTGTCCAATCAGAGACTTCTCAATGCAGCTCAATGAGGAGTAACAGAACCAGTTGTCTGACTCAGTGTGGTGCTCAGTGTGGCATGAAATAAAATGAGGAAGTGAGGGGGTAGGGGGTAAAGCAGGCTGTTATAAAGATAGAGAGGAGGTAACTCATGCTTTTACTTTTTGTTTTGCTTTTTATCCAGGCTACGGTGAAGGCTTTCTTAAAAATTGAGAGTAACATTGCAATACACCAGGAATATCTGTGGAAAATGAATTTTGCTGAATCCAAATGTTGTCAACGTCCAAGTCCTCCCAATGTGTCTGCCATAATCACCTTTGGATTTTTTTACAGTTTTTTGTTCGTCATGATACTTTTGCAAGCCTACGCACATCGATTGCGCAGAAAAATTTCGGCATTGTTTTACCCGAAACGAGAGGAGGAACGAGTTTTGTATCTCCTTGAAAAAATAATACACAAGCATGCTGTGGATGATATGTATCAAACTAATGCTCCATTTGAGTAAGGATAAATTGGTCTCAACGATTTATCTCGTAGCGTATGGATGAGTAAATGTTGGCATTAGGAATATTAATGTATTTATTATTAAATAGTTATTTTATAGAGCTCTTATCCTGAGTGCTTTACAATAGAAGAAAACAGAATATTGGTAATTATAAAGAATTCTCCCTGAACCTGATGCCATTGGCTAGTATGATCAGAGTAAGCTCTTTATTATAAGGGAGCCTACAAATATCCTCGCAGGTGGTAGCACCAGAGGAGGTTTTGCGTGTGTGTGTGTGTATGTCTGGCTTTGTGTCTGTTTTTATAATGGGTATGTGTGTATCTGTGGGTGTGTCTGTTTGACAGTGTGTGTATCTCTGGCTTTGTGTCTTTTTGACAGTGGGTGTGTGCATGTCTAGCCATGTGTCTGTTTGACAGTGGGTGTGTTTGTATATCTGGTTGTGTGTCTGTTTGACAGTGTGTGTATCTAACTAACTAACTAACTAACGATGTGTGTGAGTACGTATGTCTGTCTGTGTGTCTGTTTGACAAAGTGTGAATGTGTCTCTGCCTATGTGTGTGTGTCTGACAGTGTATGAGATTGTTTTTTATTATGTATGCATACCAAACTGTGTGTCTGTTTGATGCTATGTGTGCGCATGAATGTTTATTTAGGTGAGGGGGTCCAGCCAATATTTTTTTAAGGGGCCTTGCAGTTTCTGAAAGCAATTGAGGGTGGCTTAGTAGTAGCAACACTTTGGAAATGTTTGCTAAGTGAGATTGGGGTGCAGGTATCAAACTGGTGAAAGAATGAATTCCTGAGGTTCTTTGTAACTGGAGCTTAGATTAGAATGTATACCTTTGTACGATCAATTTGTGCACTTTTAGATTGTGCTTATAAAATCTTTAAATTACTGCAGAATGTATTAGGTTATAGGGCTGGCTATTCCATTAAGCTACCTGGGCGGTGGCAGAGGGCGCTAGTGCTCAGGAGGTGCCTGAGATAGCAATCAGATGAGAAATAGGGCCTGAACAATCTTCCACATCTACACACCCTGGAGGAAGGAGGCATCCAGAGATATTGTTACATCCCAGGATGCTCCCAAAAAAGTCAAGCTTTTAGAGATCGGACTAATCTGTCCACTAGAGGTCCACTAATGCTATAAGCCATATAGAGATACTTTTGCCAACTGCTTTTCGACACCAAAGTAATCTTTGTCTAATGTTCCCTTCAATCCTCTTAGAATTGTTGAGTAATCACAAGTTCAGTTCTGCCCGATGATAGCCCTTTAAAATGCATTTCTAATTTTTAAGCAAATAGCCCCCTAATGTTTTAAGCAGCCATTAAGTGAGATGACTGCGTAACTGCGTTGGTCACTGAGAATGCATATGTATCTTAGGTAAAACTCTGATTTATATTAACCGAAACATCTGTCATATCTTACTGACTTTCCGACAAACACAGCATCAGAGCTTTGACTTACTTTCAGTCCTCTTATAAATATAAAATGAGGTATTTGTTTAAGGAATAAAAATGAAAAATTAAGCCATGTGTCTAAGACTGTGAAGCTGTAATTAAGTCGTGTTATAAATATACAGAATTCCCAGAGAGCAGAGTGAGGCCTTTCTAAATCATTTCGAAGGATATTTTCCAAAATATAAAAAAGCAAAATGACTCAAATATTAATGTTGCGTGCATCCTTTCATCAAGCACTTACCAAGGAATAAAACAGAATCATCTAACTCTAACTGATGAAGTGTGGGCCTAAATAAACTCAGAGTTGCTGTAAGAAAATAATAACTATAATTGATGTAACATTTCAATCTAGATATGCCCGAGATGTCTCCAGGAAGGTGTAGACAACCTGGACCATTGAAGATTGATCAGACTGATCTGAAGACTGATACTATACATCCCATTTACATCTCCTCCTTTAATAAGTTTTTATGTATTTGCAGTGGCATCGTTACATTTTTACTTTTGTTGACTTTTCTACGTATTTCGTATACCAGTTCGTTCGTATGCTCCCGAACTGCTAGGGACTTAGTTATTATAGCCCAAAGTCCGGAGCGCTGATTTGTACATTCCCAAGAATCAAAGTGCAGCATGAAAACTAATTGTCAGTCATATACCCAAACATCATCCTAGACTAGATGAAGGGTAGAACAAGAATAATCTTATTTAGGCCAGATGGCCGACTTTTATGCAATTCAGGAGTACAGTATACACACCCACAAAAACTCCCACAAATTTCTGAGTCACTATGACTCTGCATAAAATACAAAATATTAAAAATTCATAATAATACACACAAAACCTATAGGAACCTCCATAAATGTCATATCCCCGGATAGCCTGGTTCTGAGCGCCCAAGTTTTCCAAATAGTGCTCAGATCCCATAAACACAGCCGAATCGCTACTTGGGTAAAGTTTTGACCGCTCATGAGGCGCCTGTCCGAAACAGTTCCAAAGTTTCTGTGCTAGCAGTCGGTCAATTTCGGAAGATCCAAACCGAACAAAACAACGAATGGTTCTCTTCGCTCATAGGTAGGGTTTGTTCGCCTTGTTTGTTGGAACAAACCTACCGAACAGGGTCTCTGGCCTAAAGGCATCACAAGGAGCCTTGCAATGTCCATGACTTGAAACTGGCTGATTATGTGGATGCTTTCCTTTAGAATTCCGCGATGCTGCCTTTTTTATTGATTGACCAAAGCTTACAGTGACTCAGTGAACACAAATGGTGATTTGTTTGTTTGCTTTATAATAAAGGACGGCAGGGTTTATTTTCTCAACAGGGCCCCGCAACTGAGGACATTAAAGTCTTGGACTCCTAACAGAGAGCTGGATGTCCCATATTTAGCATGCATTTCAGGGGTTTACCTGTATATAATACCCCTTTTATTGCATCCCGCACTAAATATTCTGTGTCCATTTAATGTTTAAACAGTTTTATAATGAGCGCTGTTATTCACAGATTTTACATAATGTTGTTCTAGACCATTTCAGCATGTGTTCAGTTCTATATTCAATACTTAATAATATCATTTTAATAGTGTGTGTGTAAAGCTGTGAACTACAATAAAATATAAATGTTAAACATGGAAACACCGTGATGAATCTTACTTGGTAAATTATAGGTTATTGTATAGGTTCCTTTCAGTGCTGCAACTTACACAAGTAATCAGCAGAGTTTTCACTGAAATTTAAGTTTGAATAATTTGTATGTTGCCAGCTGTTCTTCACAATAAAGTTAAATTAGAAAAAAAGTTTTATTGTATGTTTGTGAGTGTATCTGTGTGTTGCTTCTTCCTTCTTCTTACTTATAGGGACACTATAGTCATCAAAACAACCTTATACAAACAAATCTACACAATAAAGTGCAAGAACACACACAAGTGTGGGGGTGGTAGCTGAAATATAAGTGCAACTCCACAGTGTTTAAAAAACCACTTAAAAAACACACAAATACAAATATTGTTAAAAGATAAAGATAGAGGAGTGCAGGTAAAAATATGTATATAATATACTTATAAATACTTGATTGTCCTTTAGATGTTACCTATATACAGAAAAGGATAAACATAGCATAATACTGTTGGACTAAAAAATTGTCAATAAGTAAATATTGGTTCCACTCACACTTTGCAGAACCACATATAGTAGGCTCTGACTTTTGTCGCTCTTTTCAAATCCCCGATGTATTTGACTCCACCACACCTCCAGATCTCTCCACTTTTGCCAGGATACAGGAGATATAAATAATTCCAAAGGAAATAGGGGATATTTGTCAAAAATTTAATTAACATATATAGTTAAAAACAGGGAAATCTATAAAGTGCATAAAGGTGAAAATCAATAAAGTAGCAGCACTGACGCGTTTCGACCGTCAAAACAGTCTTTTTCAAAGTGCATAGAGTGTTCGTCTCCATATTCTGTATATATACCATTCAAATTTGGCGCCAAAAATCTCCGTTCACTGGCGTCCATGTACTTCCTGGTTTCGCCGGCCGGCTTCCTTGTCTCCGCTCATTTTTACGTCAGATTACGTCTAATTACGTCTGACGTCAGACGTCTTTTTCCCGAACCGGAAGTAACTCAAATTAGCTCCCTGAAGCTGCCGCAGCCATCTTAGAAGAGTCTTTATAATATATTCAGTATGGGACTGTCCTGGCAATATATTTTTCAATTTATAACAAAACACAAACATCTCGATCTTTATAAACCCTATATTACTAATAAATATAAAAAGCATATGCAATTGTACAGACAGGTTTTTCATAAGTATATTTAAAAGAAGAGAAGAAAATGACATATAACATTTAAAAAAAGAGAGAAAGAGATAACATCATTAATATAATGCCTGTGAAACACAGAACAGTAAAACATATAAATTATTAATACATATATTCATAAAAAATATATATATAAAAAATAATTATATAATAAAATCATAACTAATAAACCGTTTTTTAAAATAATTAGATGAGCACACTCATTTCAAAATCCATATTAAGTCCTTTAGGTGATAGTGTGTCCAAATTAAAAATCCAACCCATTTCACATTTACTCAAATTTGCGTTGATATCACCTCCTCTCCAATGTTTTGTCACCGTTTGAATTCCATAAAACTTAATGTGACTTGGGTCCTGATTGTGGTGTTCAAGAAAATGGAAGTACATGGACGCCAGTGAACGGAGATTTTTGGCGCCAAATTTGAATGGTATATATACAGAATATGGAGACGAACACTTTATGCACTTTGAAAAAGACTGTTTTGACGGTCGAAACGCGTCAGTGCTGCTACTTTATTGATTTTCACCTGTATGCACTTTATAGATTTCCCTGTTTTTAACTATATATGTTAATTAATTTTTTGACAAATATCCCCTATTTCCTTTGGAATTATTTATATCTCCTGTATCCTGGCAAAAGTGGAGAGATCTGGAGGTGTGGTGGAGTCAAATACATCAGGGATTTGAAAAGAGCGACAAAAGTCAGAGCCTACTATATGTGGCTCTGCAAAGTGTGAGTGGAACCAAAACAACCTTAGCTTAACCCCTTAAGGACACATGACATGTGTGACATGTCATGATTCCCTTTTATTCCAGACGTTTGGTCAGTTTGGTCAGACGTTTGGTCAGCAGTTTTTGTGTATAGATTATGCATCTGAATTCTCAATTATCTGCCATTTAGGAGTTAAATCACGTTGTTTCTGTTTATACAGCCCTAGCCACATCTCCCCTGGCTGTGACTGACACAGCCTGCATGAAAATAAAGGGTTTAATTTTCAAACAGATGCTAACTTTCTTTAGACGTTTTTACCATCTGCTCTTTAAATTGAACTTTAATCACAGACAGAAGGCTCTTGCAAGCTATTAACAGAGCAGGAGATTTAAAAAAAAAAATCTAAATTAAACAGACTGTGCAATAAAGGAAGCATAAATATTAGATCTCTCTTTACAGGAAGTGTTTAGAAAGGCTGTGCCAATCACATGCTGGGAGGTGTGGCTAGGGCTGTATAAACAAATTGAGTTAACTCTTAAATGACAGAGAATTAAGTAGTGAAACTGCAGGGGCATATATGCAAAAACTGCTTCATTAAGCTGAAGTTGTTTTGGTGACTATAGTGTCTTTTTAAGAATATGTGAATATGTCTGATTGTGTACTATTTAAAAACTAATTATCTGGCAAGATCCCTATTTAACATCCTCAGATGTCTATTGATGTAGGCGGAATAGTACATCACAAATATAATGCAAGTTTGAAAATTAATATTGAAAATAACACAAAGCGCCCACCAACAGTTGCTGGATTTACATTAAAAGGGAACATTTAAAATAGGAAGCAGATGTGAGAAGCTAGCTTATACAGTTTATTATGAACGACTATTGCAACATCACGTGAGTTGACATGATATATTGACTAAAATAAATCACGTTAGTGACACCAGAAAAAAAAAAAGGAAAAAGTGTTAACCGAGATTTTTATAAATGGAACTTAATTAATAGTAAAAAGTGACTGGCAGCGGCTTCCGGTTTACAATAGAATTTGTGTCAGAATTTTTTTTGGCTCTTTTTAATTAACATTTTGGTGCTAAATGCGATAGTCAGCACTGTGTTAATTATATAGTATGAACAATTGTTATTGGCCTCATGGTGTGATATTTTATATCTTGCAGAATTAAATATGTTGAAAATATGTTTTGCCCTGTTATGTTTAGAATTATGGTGCTTATAATCTCAGTGCAAGTGAATACTGTGAATACTGAAGTGTCCCATCTCAAGACACCTAAAATATATATTATGGGGGTTCCTGAAAAGGCTTGAGGTTTGTCGGTATAGAACACATTCAATTATGACAAAATAAGAATTTGACAGTGCCCTTAAAGGGGCACTCCAGACCCCTAAACCACTTTAGTTTGCTTAAATGTTTTATGTGTAAAGAGTGAGTAAATTTTTTTCTCATTTTACTAAAATTATAGATTTCACTAGAAATTGGCACTTTTGTAATTAACCTGGTTACACCCCCTGGCTGACAACCAGACTACCGTTCCTGTTACTTCCTGGTTTGGTTAGCTCAGTGGAACTAAACTTAAGATGAAGTAAATTGCTCAGAGCACCTGCCTTGCAAAGACTTGTCATTGAGCTGTATTGGGAAGTCTGTGATTGGACAGCCACATAAAGTCTGGGCGGGGTTAGAAGGGTAGGGCTTGCAAAGGCTGCAGACAAGAGATCCGCAGCTTTTGCAAGCTGTTTTTAGATTGACACCCAATAAAAATGAATAATTAAATATGTGCATTATTTTACATTTGGGATATATCTACTAACT